GGCCCTTTTTTTTTTCTCCCCCACCCCCTTTTCCCCCCCCCCCCCCCCCCCCACTATTCCAGAACGTTTCTGAACAGAGCTATAAATCTTCGATCTTATCGTGGGCTGGGTGTGCATTGAAATGTTAGGTTCTTTTCAAAAAAGCAAGCAAGCCCATCGTGGGCGGAGCTTCGGTGTTTTTACGTATGCTCAGCACGCATGGAAACTTGCTCACTCTTCTTATTCCTTCTTGGTCTCCACGGTTTCATTGAGCCAAGTTATAAAATTGTGTGTACCACCCACTACAAGTGTGCTCCGCCCACTACCGATGAATTTCCTCCATTTCACTTGTTTAGCTATCTCTTACTTTTGCTCATTTTTTTCCGGCGTCTGGGCTGTTGTGGAACTAAATAAGGAAGTTCAACCCATGACACGTCCCTTTCTGTGCATGCTCCTCCCCGTGTAGGCGAAGGCTGAGCTCACGTGTGCATTTCTGGTTGTGCCCTATTCCTAACCCATCCAAAACGTGACCCGACTTCTGTAGGTGCTTCTTCAGGTAATCATCTTCATCGAATTTCCGTGCAAACTGACAGACAAACGCGAGCGCTTAAAACAGTGCGTCTCCAAATGATACAGCCAACCCTAATTTCCCCGAAAACTAACATTATACGATGTTTCTGAAAAAGTGCCAATGCAAAAAATGTGTCAAATCTGAATTTCAATTCGCACATTATCACCAAATTCCAGGTCGGAAACACAAACATTTTTTTAGTCAATTTTCCAGTGAAGGGTGCTTTTCCAGCGTCTCCAAATGATACAGCCACTTCATGTCTTCTTGTCGTGTTTTAGTTCAATGCAACGAAATTGCTTTGTTTATGTAATGTTCTCCATTTTCAGACAATAGGAAGAGGAAAATTGCTTTAGGAATTCGAGAAAAGTCAAACCCTCGCGAAAAAGGAGCAGAGACTGTCGAATCGCAGATCGCGCTAGATTTGAGTCGATGTTACGCAGTTGTGGATAATTTTAACAAGAATCCTGAAGTCTATGGAACCAATAGAACTGCTGGGCGACGTTCGCTGCTCTCTGACAAAGATAAGTTTTTTGAGGAAAGCGTCGAACTCCACCAAGTCCTGTATGGAAATGCGATCGTCTCTGAACCTCAATGTCTCAAAAAAACACTGTTTGGAAGGTGATCAGAAAGTCCAAGTTCATCGTCAAACAGAAAATGAGTAAAGCTCTCTCCATGACAAAAGACATCTAGAAAATGAGGTCGCTTCCGCCAGAAGGTGCAGCCGAACCGAGTGGAATAAGGTTCTCTTCAGGTGCTGACGTTTGACCATCCCATTCTTGATGGTTTTCGCTCTCAGGCCGTCTTTCCCGATGAAACGAAGTTCAATTGTGATGGTTCAGACGGAAACCTTTTACTGGCACGACCTGGGGAAGAAAAACTTCAGTTTTCTAGACGGAAATTCAGGGGAGGAAGGATCCTGGTTTGGGCCGCGATTTCATCGAGTAGGCGTATCCATTTATCTTTTGTACCATAGAAGATGAACTCGTCCTTTTACAGAACTGTTATGCGCCGTGCTCTTCTCCCTTTCTGGTGTCCGAATCGGCACCAAAATCTTGCTTCTATGCAAGATAACGCCCCAATTCACGTAAGCAGGACTCTTGGTTCTCTCAGCAACGAATTGTACTTCTGCCCTGGTCGGCGAACAGCCCCGGTATGAATCCGATGGAAAATGCATGGGGCACTATGGTGCGGAAGATCTACGCCCA